TGGGAATGATTTGAAATGCACTAAGTGTACAGGCCTTAACAAGGGAAATGGCAGCTATTTACTTGTTATCGCAATGTGACATATGATGTTGGATGATATATTTTGATAATGTACAGGGATTATTGAATGTTTAGTGTCATCTTCATCACTTTGCCAATGCCAAGTAAGGGTGCATGAAAGATTTCATGAAATTCTTCTGAAATTCTTAAGAAATCTGAAAATGTTCAATCAAATTGGACTTAGTTTTTTCACTCAAATTCCCTTGTGTAAATGAGCACAAGCTAATTGGTTTGAAACAGGGAATAAGTGATTGCATTTTCTATGTACATTGATTGAGTGTTGCCAAACTTAAAAATCCAATTGCCTGAAAATGATTTATTTTGTCCATGAAGAGCAATAAGGGAATTTTTAGATGTAAATTTGTGACAGAATATGAGAAATTGATGATCCACTTTTATTATTAGGGAAAAATCAGGGACTTTATGACTTTAAAATCATCATATTCCTTTCATAGCCATAAGATTTTCATGCATTTTGGGAATGATTTGAAATGCACTAAGTGTACAGGCCTTAACAAGGGAAATGGCAGCTATTTACTTGTTATCGCAATGTGACATATGATGTTGGATGATATATTTTGATAATGTACAGTGATTATTGAATGTTTAGTGCCATCTTCATCAATTTGCCAATGCCAAGTAAGAGTGCATGAAAGATTTCATGAAATTCTTCTGAAATTCTTAAGAAATCTGAAAATGTTCAATCAAATTGGACTTAGTTTTTTTCACTCAAATTCCCTTGTGTACATGAGCACAAGCTAATTGGTTTGAAACAGGGAATAAGTGATTGCATTTTCTATGTACATTGATTGAGTGTTGCCAAACTTAAAAATCCAATTGCCTGAAAATGATTTATTTTGTCCATGAAGAGCAATAAGGGAATTTTTAGATGTAAATTTGTGACAGAATATGAGAAATTGATGATCCACTTTTATTATTAGGGAAAAATCAGGGACTTTATGACTTTAAAATCATCATATTCCTTTCATAGCCATAAGATTTTCATGCATTTTGGGAATGATTTGAAATGCACTAAGTGTACAGGCCTTAACAAGGGAAATGGCAGCTATTTACTTGTTATCGCAATGTGACATATATGATGTTGGATGATATATTTTGATAATGTACAGTGATTATTGAATGTTTAGTGCCATCTTCATCAATTTGCCAATGCCAAGTAAGGGTGCATGAAAAATTTCATGAAATTCTTCTGAAATTCTTAAGAAATCTGAAAATGTTCAATCAAATTGGACTTATTTTTTTCACTCAAATTCCCTTGTGTACATGAGCACAAGCTAATTGGTTTGAAACAGGGAATAAGTGATTGCATTTTCTATGTACATTGATTGAGTGTTGCCAAACTTAAAAATCCAATTGCCTGAAAATGATTTATTTTGTCCATGAAGAGCAATTAGGGAATTTTTAGATGTAAATTTGTGACAGAATATGAGAAATTGATGATCCACTTTTATTATTGAGGAAAAATCAGGGACTTTATGACTTGAAAATCATCATATTCCTTTCATAGCCATAAGATTTTCATGCATTTTGGGAATGATTTGAAATGCACTAAGTGTACAGGCCTTAACAAGGGAAATGGCAGCTATTTACTTGTTATCGCAATGTGACATATGATGTTGGATGATATATTTTGATAATGTACAGGGATTATTGAATGTTTAGTGTCATCTTCATCACTTTGCCAATGCCAAGTAAGGGTGCATGAAAGATTTCATGAAATTCTTCTGAAATTCTTAAGAAATCTGAAAATGTTCAAATTGGACTTAGTTTTTTTCACTCAAATTCCCTTGTGTAAATGAGCACAAGCTAATTGGTTTGAAACAGGGAATAAGTGATTGCATTTTCTATGTACATTGATTGAGTGTTGCCAAACTTAAAAATCCAATTGCCTGAAAATGATTTATTTTGTCCATGAAGAGCAATAAGGGAATTTTTAGATGTAAATTTGTGACAGAATATGAGAAATTGATGATCCACTTTTATTATTAGGGAAAAATCAGGGACTTTATGACTTTAAAATCATCATATTCATTTCATAGCCATAAGATTTTCATGCATTTTGGGAATGATTTGAAATGCACTAAGTGTACAGGCCTTAACAAGGGAAATGGCAGCTATTTACTTGTTATCGCAATGTGACATATGATGTTGGATGATATATTTTGATAATGTACAGTGATTATTGAATGTTTAGTGCCATCTTCATCACTTTGCCAATGCCAAGTAAGGGTGCATGAAAGATTTCATGAAATTCTTCTGAAATTCTTAAGAAATCTGAAAATGTTCAATCAAATTGGACTTAGTTTTTTTCACTCAAATTCCCTTGTGTACATGAGCACAAGCTAATTGGTTTGAAACAGGGAATAAGTGATTGCATTTTCTATAAACATTGATTGAGTGATGCCAAACTTAAAAATCCAATTGCCTGAAAATGATTCATTTTGTCCATGAAGAGCAATTAGGGAATTTTTAGATGTAAATTTGTGACAGAATATGAGAAATTGATGATCCACTTTTATTATTGAGGAAAAATCAGGGACTTTATGACTTTAAAATCATCATATTCCTTTCATAGCCATAAGATTTTCATGCATTTTGGGAATGATTTGAAATGCACTAAGTGTACAGGCCTTAACAAGGGAAATGGCAGCTATTTACTTGTTATTGCAATGTGACATATGATGTTGGATGATATATTTTGATAATGTACAGGGATTATTGAATGTTTAGTGTCATCTTCATCACTTTGCCAATGCCAAGTAAGGGTGCATGAAAGATTTCATGAAATTCTTCTGAAATTCTTAAGAAATCTGAAAATGTTCAATCAAATTGGACTTAGTTTTTTTTCACTCAAATTCCCTTGTGTACATGAGCACAAGCTAATTGGTTTGAAACAGGGAATAAGTGATTGCATTTTCTATGTACATTGATTGAGTGTTGCCAAACTTAAAAATCCAATTGCCTGAAAATGATTTATTTTGTCCATGAAGAGCAATTAGGGAATTTTTAGATGTAAATTTGTGACAGAATATGAGAAATTGATGATCCACTTTTATTATTAGGGAAAAATCAAGGACTTTATGACTTGAAAATCATCATATTCCTTTCATAGCCATAAGATTTTCATGCATTTTGGGAATGATTTGAAATGCACTAAGTGTACAGGCCTTAACAAGGGAAATGGCAGCTATTTACTTGTTATCGCAATGTGACATATGATGTTGGATGATATATTTTGATAATGTACAGGGATTATTGAATGTTTAGTGTCATCTTCATCACTTTGCCAATGCCAAGTAAGGGTGCATGAAAGATTTCATGAAATTCTTCTGAAATTCTTAAGAAATCTGAAAATGTTCAATCAAATTGGACTTAGTTTTTTTCACTCAAATTCCCTTGTGTAAATGAGCACAAGCTAATTGGTTTGAAACAGGGAATAAGTGATTGCATTTTCTATGTACATTGATTGAGTGTTGCCAAACTTAAAAATCCAATTGCCTGAAAATGATTTATTTTGTCCATGAAGAGCAATAAGGGAATTTTTAGATGTAAATTTGTGACAGAATATGAGAAATTGATGATCCACTTTTATTATTAGGGAAAAATCAGGGACTTTATGACTTTAAAATCATCATATTCCTTTCATAGCCATAAGATTTTCATGCATTTTGGGAATGATTTGAAATGCACTAAGTGTACAGGCCTTAACAAGGGAAATGGCAGCTATTTACTTGTTATTGCAATGTGACATATGATGTTGGATGATATATTTTGATAATGTACAGGGATTATTGAATGTTTAGTGTCATCTTCATCACTTTGCCAATGCCAAGTAAGGGTGCATGAAAGATTTCATGAAATTCTTCTGAAATTCTTAAGAAATCTGAAAATGTTCAATCAAATTGGACTTAGTTTTTTTCACTCAAATTCCCTTGTGTACATGAGCACAAGCTAATTGGTTTGAAACAGGGAATAAGTAATTGCATTTTCTATAAACGTTGATTGAGTGATGCCAAACTTAAAAATCCAATTGCCTGAAAATGATTTATTTTGTCCATGAAGAGCAATTAGGGAATTTTTAGATGTAAATTTGTGACAGAATATGAGAAATTGATGATCCACTTTTATTATTGAGGAAAAATCAGGGACTTTATGACTTTAAAATCATCATATTCATTTCATAGCCATAAGATTTTCATGCATTTTGGGAATGATTTGAAATGCACTAAGTGTACAGGCCTTAACAAGGGAAATGGCAGCTATTTACTTGTTATCGCAATGTGACATATGATGTTGGATGATATATTTTGATAATGTACAGGGATTATTGAATGTTTAGTGTCATCTTCATCACTTTGCCAATGCCAAGTAAGGGTGCATGAAAGATTTCATGAAATTCTTCTGAAATTCTTAAGAAATCTGAAAATGTTCAATCAAATTGGACTTAGTTTTTTTCACTCAAATTCCCTTGTGTACATGAGCACAAGCTAATTGGTTTGAAACAGGGAATAAGTGATTGCATTTTCTATGTACATTGATTGAGTGTTGCCAAACTTAAAAATCCAATTGCCTGAAAATGATTTATTTTGTCCATGAAGAGCAATAAGGGAATTTTTAGATGTAAATTTGTGACAGAATATGAGAAATTGATGATCCACTTTTATTATTAGGGAAAAATCAGGGACTTTATGACTTTAAAATCATCATATTCATTTCATAGCCATAAGATTTTCATGCATTTTGGGGATGATTTGAAATGCACTAAGTGTACAGGCCTTAACAAGGGAAATGGCAGCTATTTACTTGTTATCGCAATGTGACATATCCCATACCGAAATAAGTTATAACTAAGTTATAACTTTTCTGTAACTTTTTTGTACCTCAAGAAAAAGTTACATTTTAGTTATAACTTTTCTGTACCTAAAATGGACTTAGCCATTTTTAGATGTAACTAAAATATAACTTTTCTGGACTTTGTCATTTTACTGTATAACTTTTTTGTACCTTTTTGAACTTAGCCATTTTCTGGTGTAACTAAAAGATAACTTTTCTGGACTTTGTCATTTTACTGTATAACTTTTTTGTACCTTTTTGGACTTAGCCATTTTCAGATGTAACTAAAACATAACTTTTCAGGACTTTGTCATTTTTCTGTGTAACTTTTTTGTACCTAATTTGGACTTAGTCATTTTGCAGAATGGCTACTTAGTTAAACTGAATATTTTTTTTTTTTTTTTTTTTTTTTTTTACCATACACCTAAATTAATTTTTTTTTATATAACTGTTGAAATTTAATCATATAAAATAATAAATAAGCATAATTATATTAGTATAGTAATACAGTTTTACATACCTGTAATATCTACAGAGGATATGAATAAAAAGGTGGGGATGATTAAGGGCTACATAAAGGTACCACTGTTTATATGCAGAATTTTCTTTATCTAAAAATTATTCATATAATGAATTGCATTATATACTGCTATTACTTACGCAGACATTTTTTTGTTTTGTTGTGAGTTGAGATTTTTTTTTTAAAAGAAAAAGGGGGCTTCTTAGACATCTTTACTACCAATGTTTTTCTCATCAATTGCAGTCCACAGCCAATCCACTGTTAAGTTCAACAGAAGAGATGTGAAGTTGAGACTTGTAGTAAATTACATCTGAAGTTGGGAATAAATCTCTCTCTAAATCTCTCTCTCTCTCATTAATAAATATTGTTGTTTAATTAATATTTGTCTTGTAAGTACTAGTTTCATCTAAAGTTGGGAATAATCTCTCTCTCTCTCTCTCTCTTTCTCTCTCTCTCTCTCTCTATCTCTCTCAGAAAATACGTATTATATAGATTTCATGTTTTGTAAATTATATGCATGTACATCTTAAGGTGGAATAATTTCCCTAATTCTGGAGAAATATAAATGTTCAAGAGATATAAACAGTGGTCAAATGTTATAATCTCATGAAGTCATTTAATATTTTGCACAGATTTTTCTTCGTGTGCAAAACAGTGTTGATTTCCCCATTGTTTTCTCGTGACACAGGTGTTTGTACTAGATGACCTTTTTGGCCTACACTTCGTAAATTTCTGCTTATGTATTACGCAATGGTGCAATTTTACAAGGGTTGTTTGAAATCTAAAGTAAATCAATCGTAATAAGGGTGGCTAGAAAGATAAACAACAACATACAGTGTGTGTATGTTCATTTATTAACAGATATTACGATGTTGGGAATAAAGACTGCCAGTTATATTAAGATTTTAGCAGAAGACTAGGACATGTGGATTTTATTATTTGCCTGATTAAATAACCCAGTTTTACTAGTTATTTTCATAAATAAATAAAATATTAAATTCAAAATGGCGGCAACGACACAAATATGGCGGCCCCGACGTCCGTTTTGTCCGTTTTGTTGGAACTCTGTTTCAAAATTTTAACACCAACTGGCTTTTTAATATTTAAGATAAGTTTCAAAATACACAATTATGTTTATTTGGATTTAAAATAAATTAATTATGAATTATTTATTTATTTATTTTCAATCACGTGACTTATTCTAAGTCTCTGATTGGTCAACAAAAGAGCGCGGATTTTTTCATGGACGATTTGAATGTTGGCGTGTTGAAAGTGTTGATAGAAAAACGATGACAAAATCATTCGGTAAGGCAATATTTATGTTAATATTTTGATGTTTTTGGTAGGAAATGTTTATTACCTCTAGATGGGCATTCAAAAAAGAAGAAATATGTAGAATGAACAAAAATCTAGGCATGTGAATCTCAGATTTCTTGTTTGTTTTGATTGGTATGTCAATGACAAAGACTGAAGTGAAGAAATTGAAACATACTATTTTTTCAGCATTTAGTATAGGAACAAAAAATGTTATTCTTTGTCATATTTAATTCTTTAAATATTCCTATAGATCAGTTTAATTCTTAAATGACCTATATTGTGTAATTGTTTAACAGATTCTCTGAACTGTTTCAATATTGTACATATTGTAGCCTTTAAACACCACATGATCATAACTTGATATAGTGTACTGAAATGAGTAAAATAAAATTTCTAATTTTTATTTAATTTCAGCAGTATACTGGTACATTATTTCTTTCCATGAGCATCTCATGTCTGTGCCAAGCTGGAGTGAAATCCTTCAAAAATATCACCTGTTTTAGGTAAGTAAATAATCAAATCTTATTTTTATTTCAAATTCGATAAATCTTAAGCTAATTCCTATAAAGCTGTCAGGTTCTATATTGTTCTTTATGTTTAAAATTTTTTTAATGCATGTTTATGTGATGAGCCTTGAGGTTGAATTTTCTCAATTACACAACAGAACTCTAATTCTTGTTTTCCAAGTTATAGATGCATATGCCTTGAATTTGAATGAATTGATATTAAAGAGTGGTTCCAATCTGATATGCTTTGAGTGCAGGAAACACTTCAACTTTTTTTTAAAAGAAAAAATTAAAATATTTAAAGTTTGAACCTTTTTAATTTTTGCAGAATTGAAGAAAAATGAAGAGAAGGTTGAAATTGCAAGCATATTTCAAATGAAGACTCGGACGACTACCAGTGCAGGCCATTGAGGGGCGCAGACCGTCTGCCGGCCGGCCAAGTCCCTCGACCAGCTCGGCCAAATACCAGTGCAGCCTGTTGAGGGGGACATACTGCTGGCCGGCCAAGTCCCATGACCACTTCAGCCTACTACCAGTACAACCTGTCAAGGGGCGCAGACCGCTGGCCGGACGGCCAAGTCCCTCGACCAGCTTGGCCAACTACTGGTGCAGCCCGTCTTTAAATAATCCAGATAAAAATCACAACTGTACAACCACAAGGATACCTGTGCAAGGACTTGGGTGGTATGCAGCTAAGAACTGTGACCGAAATCACTGCGTAGAACCTTCTTTTTTTTTTTTTTGAAGTACAGCTAGATCATGGCGCTAACATGAAAAACTAGAGAGTTAAAATCTAGGCAGTGATGCCTATTTATAAAAGTTCACAAGAGTAGAATGCAGTTTACTAGGTAATTTTACAAAAACTCTTATGACTATATGCTAAAAAAATGTATTTTAAGAAAACAACCATTCTGAGAAATTTCAATCTGTTATGATGGCTTGATGAAAAATAAGGTAGACTTGAAAACATGAATGTGCATTCATTCAATTGTATTTGACAATGAACCAAGCTCTCTTAATCATGTTTATAAAATAAAATTGTAAGTGCTTTTAATTTTTTTTAAATAATCTTTTTTGTAAAAATTTTAATAATCTTTTTGTAAAAATTTTAATGAGTAGCTTTTTTAAAGCCTATAATTGAGTAATTCCACCACAGGTTAACATGAAGTGTATAATTTTATTGTAACTTTTATTAGGTATAACTTTTATTAGGTATAACTTTTTGTAGTTATAACTTTTTTTTAGGTATAACTTTTCTGTAACTTTTTCATAACTTTTTCATCGTTATAACTTTTCTGTAACTTTTTCATAATCTTTAAAGTTATAACTTTTCATGGGTATAACTTTTTTTAGTTATAACTTTTTCATAACTTTTTATTAAAGTATAACTTTTTTATAACTTTTTAAATAACTTTTTCCGAGTACAACTTTTTTGTAACTTTTTCCACCGTTTATTTGGGTATAACTAAAGTATAACTTTGTAACTTTTTTATAACTTTTTGTGTAACTTTTAATAAGTATAACTTTTTGTAGTTATAACTTTTTTGTAACTTTTTGCACTTGCTGTATTTATGTTGAAATAAAAAATGAAAACTTATACAAAAGTTATAACTTTTTTGTAACTAAGTTATAACTAAATTATACCTCACTTAAAACAGGCGGTTCCAAACTCCGATAACTTAGTTATAACTTTTTTGTACCTTTTTTTAGTTACAAAAGTTATAACTAAGTTATAATTTATTTCGGTATGGGATATGATGTTGGATGATATATTTTGATAATGTACAGGGATTATTGAATGCTCAGTGCCATCTTCATCACTTTGCCAATGTCAAGTAAGGGTGCATGAAAGATTTCATGAAATTCTTCTGAAATTCTTAAGAAATCTCAAAATGTTCAATCAAATTGGATTGATTGATTGATTGATTGTATGTTGTTTTACGTCCCATTCGAGAATTTTTCACTCATTTAGAGACGTCACCATATACCGGTGAAGGGCTTCAAATTTTGACCTTTGCTCGGCACTCAGGGCCATTGAAGAGTGAGGGATCTTTATCATGCCAACGCCTGCCGTGACACGGGGCCTCGGTTTTTAAGGTCTCATCCGAAGGACCCGCAACTTTCACTTCAAAGTGCCGAGCGCATGGCGAAGGAACAGTTGCTACCCATTTTTTGATCGACTTAGGTCAGTCGCGGCCGAGATTCGAACTCACGACCTCCCGATCACGAAGCGAGCGCTCTACCGACTGAGCTACCGTGAACGGTCAATCAAATTGGACTTAGTTTTTTTTTCACTCAGATTCCCTTGTGTACATTAGCGCAAGCTAATTGGTTTGAAACAGGGAATAAGTGATTGCATTTTCTATGTACATTGATTGAGTGATGCCAAACTTAAAAATCTAATTGCCTGAAAATGATTTATTTTGTCCATGAAGAGCAATTAGGGAATTTTTAGATGTAAATTTGTGACAGAATATGAGAAAATTATGATCCACTTTTATTATTAGGGAAAAATCAGGGACTTTAAAGATTTTAACAAACCTTTGTACACGTAGTTTTCGTATGAATGCTACATGTAACAGTAAAAATTTTTTTGAACAGAAAAAAGTAACACTCCAATTAATATAATTCATAGCCATGTTCCATAAAGAAATATAACAACTGACAATATGCATAACATTCTTGGTACTATAAGTGTGATGTTGTTTGGCAGATCTAGGGTGTTTAGCCCTATTGGGTATCCAATGGAATTCTTGCGTCAGTTTTAAAAGACAGACCTTTTACTAAAAAAGTTTTCAGGTTTAAGATTGCAATGATCAGTTTATTTCATATATATTGTAGATTCTGCATGTAGATAGCGTTCATACTAATAGCGATAGAAATACACACCTGTTAGCCTGTTTTTATATACCTATGAAGGAGAATTTATTTAAAAAATTCTATATGAGAAGAGGAAAACGTTTGCTGTGGCCTTCAATTCGATTTCAGATGTCGATGATTTACTCGAAATTGACATTATGTATGTTTTCCCAGAATATCCTGAAATCGTGAAATCGTGAAATCGAGCATGCGCATTCCTGCCAAAAAAGACTAAGGTAGTTGCTAGCGCAGTAGACCACTAGCATTCAGATATACCGACGATGTTTTATCAATTGACAAGAGTTATTTTCATTCATGTATCTATTCAATATATCCCAGTAAACTTGAAATATAGGCGTCGGAACCGGGGGAAGGGGGGCATAAGATAGACATGGTATAGGCATTGAAAATTGGGGCTTAGTCTCCAAACTTTTTTTTTTGTTTGTTTAGCCCCCCTTTCAATTACCCCCCCCCCCCATTTTCAATTTGCTTCCGACGCCTATGTGAGAAAAAGACACCATAGAGTCTGCCACATCTGTTTCATATTAAGATGTGTTAACAACTAATTTCTATGACGAAAGAGATGACTTCAGCTTTTCCATCGTCAACTTTATTTTATGTAGTAATATTCTACTATCTCCTTCTTATGGTGTTTATGTCTCCCAACTTACTCATCACTCAAAGCTTGTTCTGAGTACGATCAAATCTTAAAGCGAGGCATGCTACTTACTGATAAGTTGATGTTACAGGGTTTCAACAATCACGTTTAAAGTCGGCATTTCGTAAATTCTATGAACATTATAATGATCTTGTTAGCAAACCTATCAAAATTGGGTCGTATTTTGGCTGACATGTTTCAATTTTTTTCAAACCAATTGCTAGACGTTTGTTTTTATACTGAATTTGACTACTGATAGTTCCGTCTACCTTATCTATACTCATAGCGGGTGTGACCGGTCTACTGCTGGTGTAACCGGCGTGACCTACATCATAAAATGTACAATATGTATATATTTGCATATAAGTTACTAATATAGCAGCCTCGGATATAAATTTTGTGCAAGAACAACTATGTTTGTTCAAAAACCAATTTTGTACCCAACGGTCCTTAAAAACATCGTTTTTCATATACTTTTAAAATATTTTTTTCACGTAAGTTCAAATTCAGTTGTTATTCTTTTGTAATGATGATGGTGCTCTAAAATATTTCTTTAGGACTTAAATGTTGTTGTTTGAGTATTTTCAACACATCTATGATTTAATAAACCGGGTTGAAATTATCGGAAAGATTAAATTGCGGAACGTATGCTAATGGACATTTCCGCAAATTTTGAACCAAAATCATTTCTACTTTTACTCAAAAGTTTTATTAGGATAAAAAATGTATACCACGCCAATATATCTTGCATTTCAACAAAAATAAGTTGCATGTCGACATGATTATCTTGCATGTCAGCGTAGATAAATTGCATGTCAACATAAATGAGTTGCATGTTGACATACTAGTATATATGTTGCATGTTAACATATTTATTTCGCATATTAACATAAATTTGATATTTACATAAATAAGTTGCATCTAGCATGTTGGAAGTCACATGTGGTCGATATGTGAATATTTCATTTCGGAAATTTTCCAAATTTTTAGTTGATAATATTAATGTTGCATGTTGACATATTTATATTGCATGTTGACATATTTATGTTACATGTTGACATCATTATCTTGCATGTTGACATAATCTATAAAAAAATAACTTGCTAATAGGGGGCAGAAATATGCTACCATAGAAACAATGTTTATTTTATAAGAATTCATTTTCAGCAGAGTAATGGCTTGATTATCTTGAAAACTTATCTATATTTTGCATAGGTGTTATCTACGTTTATATATCATATTATCTTTTTAAAAAGTGCAACTGTTTTCGTCTGGAGGTTGTGAAGCATATACATGTCCTTTTCAAGTTCATTTATTGCGAATTATTATGTGCAAGGTACTTCGTTATAAAAGAGGCCGAATAAGTATACGCTTATCAATACTATTTTCCCCACAATCCACTTTATTAATATTAAATAAAAAAGGGTGTTTTAATAAATTACCAATCCGAAATGATGTAAAGAAAGCGTTGAAAAAACGAAGTTTTTTTCTCCCTCTATTTCATATTTATAATAACTCGGAATTTTGGAATGAATTGATAATGCTGAAAAATTTTACAACGTCAGAAGCGAATGTTCCATCAATCTCTACATTCGCTGCTGTTTTACTAATAACTTTGGATGCAATAAATAGTGCTATGCATTTTCTCGTACTTGTAATCTGACTTACGGATGCTCGGTTGGCTTCGTGACAAAGTGAACAGTGTATGTGGTGGTGGGGGGGGGTAGGTAGGGGGGATTGTGGGGAGGGTGAAGGTTCAATCAAATACATGTAAATGTGTTTCACCAAGGAAAAAAATATTTGAAAAGCAAAAACGGGGGGTGGGGGTGGGGGTATTTAACAATTTCACAACGAACATTTTCTAGATGTTGCTAGAGAGGGGCACAGTTGGGGATATATGACTCCCAGCTTAGCGATGAAGGTCTTTGACAAGAAAAATAAGCCATTTCATAAACAGCCTACATGTTAAAGACTTGGTTACTTTTTGACCGAAAAATGTAAAGATACTTTGTCGCTATTTCAAAGGTGACCCCCCCCCCCCCCCGGAGTACACCTTTACCTTATCAGTCTGTAGTCAAAATAAATAATGATCGAAAACTAGTTCATAAAGATTAACACTCTTTTCTCTATATAGACCAAAAAAACTGTTGTATATTAAAACGGTGACGTTCTTTGAGGAAAATCGTCTTTTTCACAATTACATTTTCATCAGATTATAGATGTAGCCAATATCGACGATTTTTCTTTTTTGTTTAATTAAAAATATATATTACTCTACGTTTTAAGTAGATATTATCATATATTTTATTATCATTTTATCTTTAGCTGTTTGAAACCCTCGTTTGAGAGCCGACTGGATCACTTTTTTTTTTCGTGACCTTATCACAGGATTTCCCAACGCCCTGAAAAAAAAAGCACATGCGTTCTCTTTTCGCTTTGCGAAGTCAACAAGAGACCACGCTCACCAGAGAGTTATCTTGATATTTGGAATATTCTTATTTTTCTTACTTTTAGTTTGAATTTAATAAGTTCATATTTTGTTTCTTTTCTGTTTAAATTGTGTTTACTTTGTTAGCTTTGTCGTTTTATACAGTTATACCCTTTATATATATCTTGTGTTTGCGCTCTTTTTTTTTTTCTTTGGATTTTACAGTGATTATTCAATCCGGGAACGGAGTCAAGAAGGTAATCTCTCTCTCTCTCTCTCTCTCTCTGATATC